GCTCACTGTGCACCAGAGAGTTCACACTGGTGAGAAACCCTATGAATGTATTGAGTGTGGAAAAGCCTTCAGTCAGCGTTCCACTTTTAATCACCACCAGGGAACTCATACTAGAAAGAAGCTCAGGTCTGGCTCAGTTTCCTAAGGTGTAAGTTTCCAAGATAGCAAGGAACATTGAATTAAGCTTTCTGTAAAAGAAGGGTGATTATCCTGAACCTTTCTTTAAAAAAAAAAAAAAAAAAAAAATATATATATATATATATATATATATGTATTTTCTTAGAGAGAGGAAGGAAGAGGGATAGAGAGCTAGAAACGTCAATGAGGGAGAAACATTGATCAGCTATACCCTCCCCCCCACACACACTGGGGATGTGCCTGCAACTAAGGTAGATGCCCTTGACCAGAATTGAACCCGGGACCCTTCAGTCCGCAGGCCGATGCTCTATCCATTGAGCCAAACCGGTTTCAGCTCCTGATCCTTTCTTGAAACCACTAATGAAAGTGGACCATTCCCTAAATGCTGTCTGCTAGGTCATGAAGGTGGAGAGTTGGAGGAACAGTTGGAGGCACTTTTGGGGAAGTACAGACCACACATTTACTGTACTTGCAGGGTTTTTATTTTCTGTTTAAAAGTGGATGTCATTTTTTTTTTGACATTCATCCTGTAATCAAGTTGTGTACTTTTCAGGGACAGAGGTTAAATCTTCCTTATTCTATTCTACTTTAATTTCCCAGTTTACATAAAGTCATTTTCCAAGACTGATTCACTCCTTTCTCTATTTCTAATTTTTATGAGTTTATTTGAACTTGACATGATTAAAATAAGATGCAAATGCCCCTCTCTTTGTTCTTTGCTGTAGCCTTTTTAAAATTCATCGCTTGTTAAAAAAAATAATTTTTTAAATCTCAACTCTCTAATTGCACCATTTTTAAAGTGGGCTTTCCTCCCAGCACTGGACCAAAATTTTATAGGATATCACGTACAAAAAGCTCATTTATGTGTTCTACATGTGCCCCTCTGTTTTTTAACTTCATAAAAATTCATTTGAGCCGGAATTTTGAGGACATGCTTAGAACTCCTGAGAGTCTTACTACTGCTATCTCAGCCTCAAAGGGCTAATGGATTTCTACTGGAGTGTGCCGTGTGTGTGTGTGTGTGTGTGTGTGTGTGTATGTATACCTAGGAGTCTACCCATGTATACTTTTTCCTGCACACTGACTCCAGTTCTGACCTACCTGGCTCCACCTGATGCCTAAATAAACATGTTAAAAACTGCTTCAAAACTTACTGCAGGGAGACCTAACTTTCCTGGCTTTGGCAATGATTCTAAATCCCAAATAGAAGCATTCTTGAAAGCTTGTAATTCAAAGTGTTTTAGTTTGTTGCAGATAAGAGAGTTTAAAGGAATCTGATTTTCTTATCAACTAGTTCCATCTTTTGCAACTGCCATCTAATTTCTAGCTGAGAAGTGTTTTCTTAATGATTGTTATCTTCTGGACCATCTTTCATTCCCAAGGGTAAAAGAAACAGGAAATCTTTTCAGAGAATATTCTTTCCTTCTATAGTCAAAAACAAGACATAACCTTGAACAATTTTTTTCTTCCTTGGGGCAGGGCCCCAGTACTGTGGGACTCCTTTCCTCTTAGCAGGAAAGTAGGATTGATAGTGTGACAGAGGAGGAGAAGGAAGTTAGAGGTACAATGTTAGGTATGTGGCCTAGAGGGAAGAGGTTTTTGTGAGCTCTGATTTAGGTCTCGAAGACAATGGAGGTGAAAGGGAAGAGAGTCGAGCTCAGTAAAATATGAATTAAGTGTGATTTTGTGGGGGAGGTATCTCAGATAAGGTTACAAAGAATATTGGGGGCTTTAAAAAAAGAGAAATGTGAAACTAGCTTATTTGGGATGTTAAATTACATGGGAAGCATTGTCTAAAAAATGATAATAAGATTTAGGTTATATGTGTATGGGTAAATGTTACTAATATAGGTAATCTTATCATTGAAGTTCTTATAAATTTGTCAATATTGTCATTGTCTCGTTGTTAAATTATTGTATGCCACAAAATAAATGAAACTTTCTTATAAATGAACTCAGTTTTAAACATGTCCATTTTTGAAAGTCTTATAGTCATTTACAATCAATCTCTCTCATTATTGAAGTTTCTCTCACTCTTCCTCTTCCTTTATAAAAAAATAATAAAAGCTTCTAGTTTAATGAGTTTCACAATCAGGTAAGAATAGCTTAAACGTGATGGTAACTAAGAGTGATACCAATATCGAGTTTTTGGTCACTCTCTGATGTGTGAGAAGATAACATAAAGGGGAGAATTGTTAAAGTAATAACAGAAGCCATTAGACTGAGGTGCTGCTGATACTTTGGTGGCTTACCTAAGCAAATTGAAAGTTTAAGCTAAAGTTAATTCCTGTGAATGCCTCCAGGTTAATAAAAACAATCAATCAGAACAGCCAGCTGAGCTTTCCCAAATAATGTAACCATGCTCAGGTGACATGGCTCAGGGGTTAAGCGTCCACCTATGAACCAGGAGGTCACAGTTTGATTCCCGGCCAGGGCACATGTTGGGGTTGCTAACTCGACCCCCAGTGGGGGATGTACAGGGAAGGTGCTGATTTTCATGCACAGGCAGCAGCAGCAGAATCTATTCTCATCATGGATGTTTCTCTCTCTCTCTCCCTCTCCTTTCCTCTCTGAAATCAATAAAAAATCATGCAATCTACTTAAGCTATAGCCAATCAAATAATTTGCCTTGCTTCCTCACCTCTATAGAAACCTAGCTTCTGTTGATGGAGTGCTCCTAACCAATTTCAGTTTGGCACCACCTGACTTTGCTCAATTAAACATATAAACTCAAAAAATTAAATGTGCCTCGGTTGTTCTTTTTTAAAAAATATTTTTTTATTGATTTTTTATAGAGAGGAAGAGAGAGGGGTAGAGAGTTAGAAACATTGATGTGAGAGAAACATTGATCAGCTGCCTCTTGCACACCCCCTACTGGGGATGTGCCCACAACCAAGGTACATGCCCTTGACTGGAATCGAACCTGGGACCCTTCAGTCCACAGGCAGATGCTCTATCCACTGAGCCACACCAGTTAGAGCCTCAGTTCTTCTTTTAACAGCACACAGTGTTAGTGACACATGGAAGCCATCATGTACTACTAGCAGAAATACACTGTGTATTTTTTTTATTTTTTTATTTTTAAAAAATATATATTTTATTGATTTTGTACAGAGAGGAAGGGAGAGAGATAGAGAGTTAGAAACATCGATGAGAGAGAGTCATCGATCAGCTGCCTCTTGCACACCCCCTACTGGGGATATGCCCGCAACCAAGGTACATGCCCTTGACCGGAATCGAACCCGGGACCCTTCAGTCCCCAAGCCAACGCTCTATCCATTGAGCCAAACCAGTCTTGGCTACACTGTGTATTTTAGTGAGAAATCTGGTACTTGGAGAATGGCATGAATACTCAATTTGGACATGTAAAGATTAAAACCAGAATTGGTACCTTCAGTCCAGCATCTCTCAAGTCAGCAAAGGACATAAGGTCTATAAAAACATGCCTGGTACAGGATGATTATGAGAAGTGTGATATGTCCTCATATTCTCTGGGACTCCGGTAGGTAAAGAAATAGCAAGTGAATGATCTTTTTGCTACTATTCTCTTACTTTCTGAAATTGCTGCCATCAGAATCGAGGCTCATACCAAGTGGACTGAAACTGAGCATCAGGAAAATGCCTCGGCTGATGCTCATGCACAGGAAGCAGCAGCAGAAACTGTAAGGGTTGTGGCGTATGTAAATGAAGTTCTTTCTGCTTTTGAAAAAATGATCCCTTATTGTCCAGCTTTGTCTTTTGTCATCCTGGGGCCCTTACAACACAGCCACAGTCATCTCCTGAATCAGAGAAATCAACAGGCAAAATGGTGGTAAATTAGGGCTATGGGAAATTAAATATGGCCGCTTGGTTCTTCCAAGCTTCCCGGCAAACCTCATCTACTGGTTTCCCCATTCATCTGAGCTTTAATTAAAACCTTACAAAGTTCTTGTAATCATCCCTGCTCCTTATCACCCCCAATCAACAGGCAAGAACAAAGGGTGTTCTTAAACTCAAAATCTCTAACCTCACAGAAATACCGAACCTCCTTGGCCTAAGCCAAACACAAGGCCCTCGGGCCAAATCCGTCCCGCCAGGCCTCGCAATGTGGCCCGCACCACGCTGTCATCACTGCACTCCGCTGCGTTTCCATCACAATGACAGTTTATGACTGTTCAGTAAACCATTCGGCCCGCGATTTAGGCTGGATTTTAGATTTTGGCCCCTTCTCTGATTGAGTTCGACACCCCTAGAAGGTATTGTCTCTGACCTTTCTAACTGTTAGAGTAAGATCTAAATTTTAGCCCGGCGGGCATGGGTTGGTGGTTGAGCATCCACCTGGGAACCAGGAGGTTGCTGATTGGATTCCTGGTCAGGGCACAAGCCTGGGTTGCAGGCTCGATCCCCAGTAGGGGGCATGCAGGGGGCAGCCAATCAATGATTCTCATCATGGATGTTTCTGATATCAATAAAAGTATACTTAAAACAAAAATATTTAAATTTAAAAATTTGTGATTTATAAATTGGACAGCTTCCAGTCTAGCAGATAGGAGCTCTGAAACATATGAGGCAAAGGATTCTATAGGCAGAAGGGAGCAGAACCGAGGAAATTACACTAGGCAGAAAGGTGGAGTGGTTATTGCAAGCTTCCTTTCCCATAGCAGAGGGACGGCAGGTATTTATTGAGCTGATTACCTAACTAATGCTGACAGGGAATTCCTGATTGATTTACGATTTCCTTTTGGGGAGACCCAGGACTGTAAGTTTGATGACACTGGGCTTAGCATCAGCAACTCCATTTGGAGCCTGTTGTCTTTAAGAAGTTATTCAAGAACTTTTTGATCAGCATTAATTAGGTCATTAACCTCTGCTCTCCCCTAAGATGTAAAAAATTCACTCAGTTGAGTTTTGTTCTTTAACAGTGTTTCAAAAGTCGTCTTATACTCCGGAAAATACGGGTATCTAGTGACCAAAGCACCCACTTCACTGGGAGGATCATCTGAGCTTTAATTAAAACCTTACAAAGTTCTTGGGCTGCAGACATTGCATAGCCTGGGGGCAGGATGCCTTGGGACAGAGGGAGGTGGGTCACCGGACAATGGGTCAGTTGGAGTTTTGAAGGAGGCGGTGGTTCACGCTCCAGCCAAGCGTGCCCAGGGGTTCCACCGGTGCCCTGGGTTTCTTGGAAACGGCTGAAATAGCGTCTGTGACCTTTGGGTTGTCATGGTAGCTGTCCTAACCCCCTCTTGTGGATTCCGAGTATACATTTGCTGTAACACCTGTGGTCTGCACTGCAGTTCACCTTTGCCTTGGTGAAGTGCTGCAACTGTAGTCGCTGGCCAGCTTCACAAAGGCTCATACATGTTGATCTGTCTCTGTGGTCCTCTCTTGTGGATCGCCCCAGAACAACAGGAGAAAACAGCTGGAGGCATGGGAAGGTAAGTGTTGCGTGCCTGTGGCTGGGAATAAGAAAGTACTCCCCCCCCCCCCCCGTGGGGGTGACGTGAGAAGAGTCTAGTAGCTGGTTCCCCTCATTGAAAGGGGCCTCAGGGAGCAATGAGTGATCCCTGAACTCCTGTCCCAATAATTCCATAAGGGACGTATGCACAGGTGACCTACGGTGCCTCAGCCAGAAATCTGACACATACGACCCAAGGTACTTAATTAGTAATCCGCCGAGCATAAATCACACAGGAGACAAACATGCAATGCACGAATCACTCACGGTTTATTTACCAGAGCCCTGGTGAGTTCCAGACCTCGGCAGACCACCCAGGGACCTGCACTGACAGATGCACACAGTTCACGGAGGACTTGGCAGCTGCGGCTCGGCTTGAGTTGAGGCCTCTCGTGACAGCTCACGGTCCACGGCTCAGGGTTCAGGGTTCTCGGCGGGGAAAGTGGAGAGTAACCTTCTGGGGAAGAGCATAAGGAATGTGTCTGATCTCCTGTGGTGCTTGCTCTTTTTATGTGTCTTCTGTACTCAGATGTGTCTTCGGTGTTTCTGATCGGTGGGTCACAGATCACTTTACGTATTTTCTGCACACAGGCCACCCGAGGATGCTTATCCATTTGTCTACATTCCATTGCATACTTTCAGATAACCACACTTCAATTCCACACTCTAATACTTATTAGGTCTAGTAATAATTAATGTCGTTTTCTAATACTTTTTTAAATCGAATTTATTTAAACAATACAACAAAATTTAATCAACAATATAGTTGCCGTTGTTTTCTACTACTTGTGCCCAACGCTCAGGAAGCATTTTAATCCCTCTGTTGTAAAATTCTTGTGATTTTGATGCAAAAAATTCGGTCAATGCATTTTTGACGCATTCTTCATTATTAAATTTTTTTCCAAGAAGATAGTTTTGCAAAGAACGAAACAAATGGTAATCGGAAGGGGCAATATCAGGAGAATATGCAGGTTGAGGGAGAACTTCCCATTCCAACTGGCGCAGTTTTTCAGCAGTGATTCTTGCAGTATGCGGTCGTGCGTTATCGTGGTGAAGAATTACGCCCTTCCGATTAATCAGCGCGGGTTCTTTTTCTCTTAAAGCTTGGGCTAACCTTTCCAATTGGGCACTATACACTGCACTTGTAATGGTTTGGTTAGATGGTAAAAGTTCATAATGAAGAATTCCTTTAAAATTCCACCAAACACACAACATCACTTTTTTCGCATGCAAGTCAGCTTTTGGCGTGGGCAGCGGAGCCTCATTTTTGTCCAACCATTGAGGCCGCCTTTTCAAATTAACATACAGCACCCATTCTTCATCTCCGGTAACTATTTGCTCTAAAAACGGCAAACGGTTTTGACGAGAGAGGAGTGAACTGCAAATTGTGACTCTTTGATTATGGTTGTTGTCGGTCAACTCATGAGGAACCCATTTTCCAAACTTTTGGACTTTGCCAAGTGCACGCAATTGATTGGAAATTGTTTTTTTGTGAACAATTTAAAGTTGTTGCAAGCTCTTGTTGGGTAATTTGAGGATTTTGCACCAAAAGAGCTTGAAGAGCTTCTTGATCAAAATTGGACACACGGCCTCGACCACTCTTGCCATCTAATGAAAAATTTCCCTCGCGAAATTTCTCAAACCAACGCTGGCATTTTCTGGCGCTAACTGCATCTTGACCAAGAGCACTACAGATGTTTTTTGCAGCCTCACTTGCTTTTCTTCCTAATTGGAACTCGTAAAGCATGCAGTGCCGAATATGCTCTTCATCCGCCATCTTCTTAGCCCTAGTTTTGCAACAAAAACCAAACCAAACACAAACTTTTTCAAGCAAAACTTGTTAATTGCACTTCACACGTTCTGTAGATACCACGTGTTTGAAGGTTATGTCAATACAAGTCAACGCCAAGCAAGATTTTAAACAAATGTTTAAAAACGACATTAATTATTACTAGACCCGATATTTTATATTGTGTTTATCCTTATTTACTATAACAACTCCTTCCTGCCAAGACCGGACAGCGGTCAGCTAGATCTCCTGTGGTCCCTGTTTTGACTCCTAGCTTTGGATTCTATTATTCTCTGGGTGGGGGGTGGGTAAGGGGGGCAGCCCTGCACGTATTGGGAGGGGAGTGGGAACACAGGCCAAGGCTCATAGAGCTGTGGGGCCAGATGTGCATAGGAGAGTGGAGGGCAGGCGTGCTGTGGGGTGGTGGCGTGTGTTAAGGATGAGCCCCCCGCCCCACTAGCCCCCCATGATGTTGACAGTGGCAGGCCAGCACAGTGTTGGAGCCGAGGAGGAGCCGAGACGCTGGCCCTCCCAGGCTTCCTAGAGCGGCCGCCGAGGCCCGAGGCTGCGACGCGCTTGCGCGCCCAGAGGGCTGTGAGCGGCGCTGGGTGTGCGGTGCGGACGGAGGGCCGGCGCTCCGGAGCCGCGGGGCCGGTGAGTGGCGGGCGGGGCGCGGGCGCGGGCGCATCGGGGGCGGCGGGGCGGCGGGAGGGCCGGCGGGGCGCTGGCCTGGCCTGCGGGGGGCGGCTGCCGCCTGGCCTGGAGGCTGCGCGGGCCCCGGAGGAGACGGTCTGCAGGAGGAAGGGCGCCCGGGCTCTCTCTCCTCTCCCGATGGTGCAGACAAAGCGTGCCCGTTACCGGCGACCGGGGACGCGGGCGAGTGGCAGGAAAGTGAAAGTGACTGCGATCTGTCAGTGCTCTGGTCCGGAGGCTTCCTGGTATTTAACATTGTACGCGTTATTATGCAAATCCAAATATATATACAATATATATATATATATAATCTCACGAAATGAGAGCATACTAGTAATTGCTTTTAAAAACGGATTCTGGCCGGGACCGGTTTGGCTCAGTAGATAGAGCGTCGGCCTGCGGACTGAAAGGTCCCGGGTTCGATTCCGGGCAAGGGCATGTACCTTGGTTGCAGGCACATCCCTGGTGGCGGGTGTGCAAGAAGCAGCTGATCCATGATTCTCTCTCATCGATGTTTCTAACTCTCTATCTTCCTCTCTGTGAAAAATTATGCCGGTGTGGCTCAGTGGTAGAGCGTCGGTCTCCGGACTGAAAGGTCCCCCAGGTTCGATTCCAGTGAAGGGCATGTACAATGATTGTGGGCACATCCCCGGTGGGGGGTGTGCAAGAGGCAGCTGGTCGATGTTTCTCTCTCATCGACGTTTCTGGCTCTCCATCTCTCTTCCTTCCTCTCTGTAAAAAAATCAATGAAATATATTTTTAAAAAACGGATTCTGTAAAACGGTGCTGTGACGAAATGTACATAGCATTTACCAAATGACATAAACATTTACTATTTTCACCATTTAAAAGCCAATAACCGGTGCCATTAAGTCCATTCATGCCGTTGCTGATTGGGAAATTGTCTCTTCCATTGGAGTAATGCAGTTCAGATACTGTTAATTTTGGTGCTAGCATTATGGAACCGCTAAGACGTGTTTCCAAGTATAATTAAAAGAAGACATTCTGTTGGTGTTTTTTTTCTCCCATAGTACACAGGGCAGGAGGCTGTGAAGAGAAACATTTTAGTAGAATTGTTTCCAGATTAAAGAGTTGCATACAAAAGGCAGTTTGTTAAGCAAGAGGTGCATCTCTAACCTGAGGCCGGGGAGTTGTCCTCTGGCTGGCATAGGCCTCCAAAGTCAAGGTCTCCCTCTGAGTTAAAAGGGGGTGGCCAGCAAAGAATATCCTGTTTCTAACTGTTTGTGCTTCAAACGTGAAGACTCATTCATATCAGTCGGTTACTTTACAAGGAGTGTTTTCAGCTGCTTTCTGAGTAAGGATTTCAATCTGTTAATATACAAAAGCACATCTGTGAGGGACTGACCATGAGGCAGCTCTCTCTGACATGTTGTGTTAATGCTAAAGATATCACAAATTTTGGTTAAAAAAGCGATTCTTGCCTCTGCCAGGTGGCTGGTGTACCAAACAGGTGATGGGTTCATTTCCGGGTCAGAGCACAGACCTTTCAGTCCGCAGATCAGCGCTCTGTCCGCCGAACCAAACCGGTTTCGGCCCAAATTACACTTTAAACCAAAGCAAGTTCTGGCCTTTCCAGGGTGAGTCATGTTCGCATGTCATGTCTCTGACCAGTCCTTATCTATGGAGTGCACTCCTGCTCATGCGCTTCCCACAGCAAATCTTTATCTATGGGGTGCCCTGCTGCCTACTTACTTTCCAAAACATCATATTAAGTTTCACACAGTATTTTTCTACATTTCCTATAATACTCTTTTTAAAAAAAATACATATTTTATTGATTTTTTATGGAGAGGAAGAGAGAGGGATAGAGAGTTAGAAACATTGATGAGAGAGAATCATCGATCAGCTGCCTCTTGCACACCCCCTACCAGGGATGTGCCCGCAACCAAGGTACATGCCCTTGACCGGAATCGAACCTGGGACCTGTCAGTCTGCAGGCCAAAGCTCTATCCACTGAGCCAAACAGGTTTCGGCTCCTATAATACTCTTTAATTGTTTAATTGTTTCCTATTGCTGTCACATTGTAGCACACTCTACTTCTTTCCTATTATCATCCCTATTACTATGACACTTATTGTCCGTGTATAGAGTAAACCTTTGTACTCTCACATGGGTAAGAAAAACTTGAGTGTTCAAGAGACTACTTAATCAGGGTTTTTAAAGGAAAACAAACAAAATTACATTGCACATGAGTTGAAGGAGCAAAATGACAAGAAGAAGAAAATGTCCCCGAAAAATGGCCAGATGGTTGCCTGGGGTTTCCCCCGTACTTTTCTAAGCCTCTTCTCATTGTGGGAATGGTGTGATCCAGCTCAGGCTGCTTTCCGGGCCCTGGGGGCTCACATCGGTGGTAGAATGTTAACAAGTTGATGCTTGGAGCTTTTCTGCTGTCCTCAAGGCTAGTTGGGACATGAGTCATCCCGTGGCCTCAGGATTCCTGAATTTCACCGCTGGTTCCGTTCACTGGCCCCACAGCTTCCTGTGCTCTGGGCCTTCCATTCAGAGTGCGAAAGGCCCACTCCCGGGCCTTTATCTTTAGTTTTACCCAAGTTCATGGTGGTGGAAGCTGCTCCCCCCTGCCCCTTCTTTGAAGACCTGGAATCCGTTGCCAAGTTATCAGGCAGTCACCCTCCCTTTCCTGTTGGCCAGTTTTCTCACCAGCTCTTTACCAACACTCCACTATGTCTTCGGCCATTTCTGCACCGCTCCTCTAGGACACGCCAGCCTGGAGGCTTATTTTTGGCACTAATTTCACTGTGGGTCTCAATTCCCTGAGTTGGGTCATTATGGTGTATATTTCGTTCTGCTTGCACGTCTTCAAACTGTTTGTCTGGCCCCCAGTTCATTGTCTTTAGCCTCCCTGCCAGGTTTCTCTTCACCCTCAGCCTCACGCTTGGTGTTGTGCCCGGTAGATTCTGGGACCCACAGGCCACCAGGGAGCCGAGTTCGATGCAAAGGCAGAAAGTCTTTATTCTAGCTCGAGCTAGGGTCCGAGCCTGGCCACCGGCGCGGTGGCACTCACCCGTTCCTCACTCAGACCCTGCTCTAAGTTTCTCTCCAGATTTTACACTCTAACCCAGCTATGTAAGTAAGCTCCCCCCTCCTCCCCGTTCCCTTGAGTAAGTCCACTCTTGCCGTCGCGGTATCTCTGGGGTGGTCGGTTCCTATAGGCCATTCCCCAGCGGTCAGGCTGGCCTGTCCCCGTAGGCCATTCCCCAGCGGTCAGGCTGGCCTGTCCCCATAGGCCATTCCCCAGTGGTCAGGCTGGCCTGTCCCCGTAGGCCATTCCCCAGCGGTCAGGCTGGCCTGTCCCCGTAGGCCATTCCCCAGCGGTCAGGCTGGTGATTAGTACCGAAGGAACGAAACCTCCCTGGGGGCCTAGCCTTGTTTTAAAGCCACCATAAAATGTTGTGTTCTAGTTTTACGCAACCTTACATTGCTGTTTTCATTCTTCAGTTTTCGTGCGCTTTCCATTCTGTTCTGCTAGTTTGGACGGGAAAGCCACTCTCCTCCTTCTCCCTGACCTCCACCTTCCGCTGAGCAGTGTTTCTGCTTCCTGTTTGAGCTGCTGGAGCTCAGCAAGGCTGGAGCCTGCCCTCCCGGGCCCCCCAAGCGCCTGCCTTTGCTGTGGTGTCTTCAGGCCTCCTTTGCTAGGCCTTGTTATTCATGTTTTTCTCTTGTTGTCTCCAAATACTCCTTACCCTGTCCCATCCCTCTTTTTCCAAAGCGAGGCTTCATTTCTTCTCTGCCGAAACTTCAGCACGCATGACCCTTAACACGGCTCTTTACCTGGATCCTGCCTGGAGCAGGACTGGGATTTCTTCTAGTCGCTGGATGGTGGCTGCTTTCTGGGTGAGTGTTCTTCCTGTCTCCGTTAGTGATTTCTGTGGATCTAGCAGTGTTACCAGTGTTCTAGCAGGAATTTGGTAGGCTGGGAAGAGCAAACGGCACGCACTCAGAGGATCAGGAAAATCCGGGTATTCTGCATCGGTGCTGGCCCCGTGGAGTCGCCGCCTCCAGAGGCTGAGCATGCCTTCAGGTTCTGCCCGTGTTTCATACGAACTCAGCGCCCAGGTCATCTGGGGACTTCCCAGACCTGTTGCAGTTTGGGCGGTTGGCTGGTTCAAGAAGCAAGCGAGAGCACAGAAGCCAAGGCGTGGTTATGGTGGTGCAAGCAGGAAGGGGGTGTATCTGCTAGATTTGCCTTCTCAGCAGCACTCGCTGAGTCCAGGAGATGGTGAACATGTATCTATAATAATAAAGGGTAATATGCTAATTTGACTGGACATCTTGTGGACGTCATTCCGGACGTCCTTCCTGGAAAGCCAGGGCTGGAGGGAAGCCAGCCTGTGTCCTGGGTGCCTGCGGGCGGCCGGAGGAGGGAAGCAGCTGGGGTCCTGGGTGCTGGAGGGTCCTGGCTGCCGGAGAGAAGCCGGTGCTGGCAGCCGGGGGAAGGGAGGCCTACTCTTGGCACAAATTTTCGTGCATCAGGCCTCTAGTTATTTTATAATGAATGTAGGAGAGGAAGGCTTTTTTTTTTAGTATCATGGGTGAAAGTGGTCTCTTCCTTCCTTCCTTCCAGGGAAAAAATTAATTTTCTTCACTTCTTAGAGATCTAGTCAAAATTTGTTTCTTCACGAGTCAATTTTATTAATTTGTGTTTTATAATAGTTTGTCAACTTCATCTAAAATATTTGTTTGCAAGAATACCATTTTAAAGTCTTTTTCTTTTTGTAAAGTCAGTAATAGGTTTCCTCTTTCATTTCTGATGTATGTAATCTGAGTCTTCTCTTTTTCTTTGTCAGGCTAGCTTATGCTTTATCAATTTTGTTGATTTTTTCAATGAACCAACTTTTAATTTGATTGATTTTTCTCTTTTCCTAACCTCCGTTTTATTAATTTCTGCTCTATTCTTGGATTATTTCATTTCTTCTGCTTGCTTTAGGTTTAGTTTGTTCTTTTTCCAGTATCTCAAGGTGGAAAGTTAGGTTATTGAGTTGAGATCTTTCTTAATGTGTGTATATATGATAAGGCCCTGTACATATTTTACTGTATTCTGGGGTATTTTCTCAGTTTACCTCAAAGTGTGACAATCCAGCCGTACTTGACACTTGCAGGCACCACTGTGCAGTTGCTCACGTGCCCTCTTCTCATACATCCAAGATGATCCGAACGAACAGGATCCAGCTCCACCATCCTTCTCACATGCCTCCTGGACACTAATATTGCTTATTTCATTCTCTTGCCAGTGACGTCTGATGTCCCAGCAAATGGCATTGTCCACTACGGTGCCGGACAGACACTCCCCACGTCCTCGCAGCGGCCCGGCTCACAGGCTTGGCTTGCACTCTGCGGCGGACACCTGAGCAGGAGCGATGCCTCCGGGCAGGTGGTATGCCGTCCACCCAGCGCAGGCCCGGGCCTCAAGGGAGCGAGCACGCCTTCAGCTGGTGAAGAAGGAGGAAGAGGATGAAGGCTACGCTGCGGTGCAGGCTCCTAGGCCCCAGACACTCAACCTTGCTGGCCAGGAGCTGTTCCGCCAGCTCTTCAGACAGCTTCGCTACCACGAGTCTCCTGGGCCCCTGGAGACCCTGAGCCGGCTCCGGGAGCTCTGCCGCTGGTGGCTGAGGCCCGACGTCCTCTCCAAGGCTCAGATCCTGGAGCTGCTGGTGCTGGAGCAGTTCCTGAGCATCCTGCCCGGCGAGCTCCGCACCTGGGTGCTGCTGCACCAGCCGGACAGCGGCGGGAAGGCGGCGGCCCTGCTGGAGGAGCTGCGGAGGGACCTCGGGGGGGCACCCTGGACGGTGAGTTGAGCACGTGTGCAGCGCCCAGTGAACTCTGCCTGCCAGGGAGCCAGCTTGTTTGGGGGGGACTCTTCCCTTCTAGTTCCCGTGGCACGTGAGCAGCTGAGAACTATACCCTAAGCCGGTGGTCGGCAAACTCATTAGTCAACAGGGCCAAATATCAACAGGACAACGACTGACATTTCTTTGGAGAGCCACATTTTTTTAAACTTAAACTTCTTCTAACGCCACTTCATCAACATAGACTCACCCGGGCCTTGGTATTTTGTGGAAGAGTCACACTCAAGGGACCAAAGAGCCACATGTGGCTCGTGAGCCGCAGTTTGCCGACCCCGGCCCTAAGCCAAGGAACTTATAGCTGGCAGCCCTTCCCACCTTCCCAGAGGAAGAATATCCATAAAACAGTAACATATTCTACGTGGGAGGGCACTGGCATGGTTTGCACCCGGGACTTTTCCTTCTGTGGCTCCACGGCTGCCCCTCGCAGCTAGCTCTGCCTCTCTCACTGTTACCAGTACTTCCTCGGGTTTCCAGGCTGGGAGCCGTCCGCCTCTTGGGGGCCCCTTTGCATAGAAGCGCCTAGAGCAGCGCCCTGTGCTTGGTAGACATTATGCACCGGCATCTCTCCTGCGAATCATCAGTTCAGTTCTCCGGGATACAGAACTTTCGTTTGAGTTCCAGGCCAGGGGTGGGGGCTGAGGCCTGACTACAAAGCTGTTAGTGACTTGCCAGCTACTTTCTTCCTCCTTTTTTATATCTTTATTGTTAAGAGAATTACAGCTATTCCTCCCTCTTAATCCCCCCCCAACGTGCTGCTTTCTGGCTCCACCTGGCACCCCCTGGCCCACACTAGAGCCCAGGGGGGCTGAGGGGTGAGGGGTCCTGCCTGGCCTTTCTCCTCCTCTCCCTCTGCCTGCATGTGGCCCCGCTCACCCTCCTCTGGCCTTTGAGATTGGCGCGTGGCTTCCTCTCTGAGTTGCTTTCTAATTCCCATGGGGGTCCTCTCCTGTTTTCTTCTTGCCAGGACCCAGCCCCTGCCCAGAGGCCAGATGTACAGTGGATGGGCACAGGAGCCCTGCGAGCCACCCAGAAATGGCCCTCTGCTTCGCCTCCCAGGAGCGGCTCTGCCCCCGGGGACCGCCTGGAGCCTCCCCATGAAACAGGCGTGCGTGACCTCCCGGCTGGGCCATCCGGTACTCACCACCTGGCACTGAGACCCCTCCCGGCCCGAAGCCACACTGCCCACACTTCCTGTGTGTCCTCCTCTCGCCATCCGCCCTCGCACGACAGTCCCTTTCTGTCCTGGCCCCTGGCTCTGTGTCTTCTCTTTTTCTCTCTCCTTTCTCTCTCTCGTCTTTGTTTTACTGTTGTCGTTTTGTTTGTTTGTTATTCGTTCGCTCTGTGTCTTTTCTGCCTCCTGTGACCCGTGCTAGCCCGGCTCCTCCTCCCGCTGTCTGCCCTGCCCTCCCGTCTTATTCCCTGGCCTCCGGCAGACACTGGGGAAGGCGAGATGGGTCACAGCAGTCCGTGCCTGCCCGTGGGGGGAAAGGCGGGCCGCCCTGTCTCATGGCTCTTTCTTCTTCAGATCCTCCCGCTGCCCAGGTGCCTGCCCTTCCCCGGGAAGAGGGCTGCCCAGGAGACCAGCCTCAGGTGAGCCCAGGACCGGCCGTCCTTCGTGCCGTCCCAGTGTCTGCGCCCGACAGAGTAGCTGCGGCCCCCCCCTTGTCCTGCGTCTCTGTCAGTGACCACACATCCGGAGACGCACGTCCCAGACCCAGACCCTCCCCATCGAGGCCAGGCCTCTTCTGCCGGGAGACGGCCTTCCTTTCCCCCCTGACCAGCCCCTCCTGTTCTCGCTCCCCCGCCTCTCCCTGAAAGCCGGCTCTGCGGGCTGGCTCTGAGGAGCAGTTCTCTTTCTTAGGAGGCTCTGACTTTCAAGGACGTGGAGGTGACCTTCTCCCAGGATGAGTGGGGATGGCTGAGCCCCGCTCAGAGGAACCTCTACAGGGACGTGATGCTGGAGAACTACGGGACCTTGGCTTCCCTGGGTAAGGCATTGCAGTCCCCACGCTCTGCCCGCCTCTACTGCTGCCTTCTTAGTTTGCACGAAGGTGCAGCCAGCTCTGTAACTGCCAACCAAGTCACTGAGTCTGTCACCCAGTCTCTCCTCTGGAAAAAAACAGGATAAGAATGCCTGGTATGCTGGGTTATTGCAAAGATTAAAGATATGTGTCAAGTACCTACTCCACTTAGGCATCTGAGATATGTTAGCTGATTTAACTGATTGAATTGTCCTGTGTTTCCCAGAGAATCCTGGTGATCCCCAGGGCTGTGATTTCTCTCTTGTTGGAGATGGCTGGCTGGGTCTCCTGCCTTAGCTTCCTCCACCTGCCTCTCCCTTCCCTCTCCCCCAACACTGGACCTGCGAGGGTCCTTGAGACGAGTTCTGCGTGACTCATCTACCTTCCATCCCGCCCCCCCCCCCTGCAGTGGGGCCACTCGACAAACCTGCTCTCATCTCTTGGTTGGAGAAAAGGGAGCCGTGGGGCCTGAATGTCCAGAGAGCCCAGCCTAAGGCGAAGCCAGGTGCTGCCCCGGCAGGTGAGTTCCAGAGAACCTTCCAGATCCTGCTCCTCCGGCATCTGTCCTCTTTCCTACGACCTTTCACACCAAGTCAGCCATGGGGATCCTTCTCCATTGTTTGCTGGAAGGAAAACCCTCGGCCCTGTTGCTCAGGGGTGCCGGGCCCCGGGCTTCTTCTCTCCGGACTGGCCTATTAGACATTCATTTCCGGTCGTGCCCCTTTCCCAGAAGCCCTTTCATTATTGCCCACTGGAGGGTTTCACCATTCCTTCTTTCCGTTCATCGATGCTGCACTCCCGTTGAATCCTAGTGCCTGCCCTTCCTGCTCTGAGGAGCCCTCGTTCCACTCCTGCTCCTCCTCTCTGCTCCGTCCTCCCCTGTGGTAGGCTTGCTCTCCAGACCTTTCAGCCGGCTCTCCTCCGAGCCCCACCCTCGGCTCCGTCTTGTGCTGTGGGTCCTCTCCCCTCTTGCCATTAACACTTGCCTCTCAGCCCTTTCCTTTTTTATTTTTTTATTTTTATTTTTAACTGGATGTGAGCTCTGTGCACCTCTGGTTCCTGTGCGCATCTTGCTTCTCCTCCCTCCCCTGGCGTCTGGGATGCCCCTCCACTTTGCCTTGCCATGTGGGACTGTTTTGTAGACGGATTGGCGGTCAGGCACAGGCCACACCACCCAAGTCTGTGGCCCCTGTTTGTCCCTCGGTGCTTTTCCAAGTATGGGAAAGGAGTGCATGCTCCTGTGTTTTGTTTTGTGTCAGGAGGGGAGCTCCAGATGAAATCCAGCAAGCTCATCTTGAACTCCAAGCCTTTGGAAGAAGCTCAGGCCTTAGCCGTGTCGTCAGGATGCCGTGTGATGAGTGTTTCTGAGGAGACGGGGCCCCGAGAACCCGTGGCACAGAAGAGCCCATCGCAGGAGGGTAGTGGAGATCCCACACCCGTGAGCGCTAAGAAGAAAGAGGCCGGTGTCAGTGGCAGCACAGGAAAGGAATCGGAGGACTCAGCAGGCGGTAACGGTGTCAGCCTCAGACACACTGTGTGTTTCCGAGTTCCCAGGAGAAAAAAGAAGCATGGCCGCGGCCGGCACTTCAGAGGCGGCTCGTACCACTGTGACTACAAGGAGTTCGGGAAAGGCCTCAGGCTCACGCTCAGCGGGTTTAACCTGCACCAGAGACTCCACGCCGGGCGGAACGCCCCCTCGGAGGCGGCGCAGGGGGAGGCCTGCGGCCTCAGCCCGCATCACCCAGGGAGCCTTCAAGCGGCGGGGGCTTTCTACAGGTGCGCCGAGTGTGGCAGGACCTTCAGCCGCAGCTCCTACCTCGAATGCCACCGGAGACTTCACACGAAGGAGAAGCCGTTCAAATGCCGGGTGTGCGGGAGAGCCTTCCGGTGGAGCTCCAACCGTGCGCGGCACGAGAGGATCCACACCGGCCTGAAGCCTTATAAGTGCAGCCTGTGCGGCAAAGCGTTCCAGCGCCTGTACGCCTACCACCTGCACCAGGAGTCCCACGCCAACCAGCTGTACCTCAAAGCCAGGCGGTGCCAGGAGGCGCTCGCCTGCGGCCCCTGGCTGGGCCACCACGTGCAAGACCGGGGCGGGGAGAAGCGCTTCGACTGCAGCCAGTGCAGGAAATCGTTCCGCTGCAAGTCCTACATCCTCCAGCACCAGAGGATCCACACCCAGGAGAAGCCCTACAAATGTCCCGAGTGCAGGAAGACCTTCCGGTGGAGCTCCAACTTCTCCCGGCACCTGAGGATGCACCAGGAGGAGAAGCTCTGCCGCTCCGCAGACCAGGGCGGCGGAGACCCGAGGGAGGCCCCCGGCTGCAGCCAGCCCCAGAGCGAGCCCCAGAGCGAGGCCCCCGCGGAGGGCGCGTTCCCGGGCCAGCCGTGCGGGCAGGCCTTCACCGGGAGGAAAGCCCTCCTGACCCACCAGCGAGCCCACACGGGCGAGGAGCCGAGCCCGGGCGGGGGAGGCGGGGGAGGCGGGGGAGGCGGGAAGGAAGTCACGCACAGGCCCAAGCTGATCGTGCGGAGGAGGCAGCGGGCCCCGGACAGGAGCCCCGAGGACCCGGCCCCCGACAGCCAGGACCCGGCGCCCCAGGCCCCTCCTCCGGGCAGCCCGGCCGCCGACAAGCCCTTCCGGTGCGGCCAGTGCGGGAAAGGCTTCCAGAACCAGTCCTTCCTCTGCATCCACCAGCGGGTGCACACCAGGGAGCGGCCGTACCAGTGCAGGGACTGCGGGAAAGCCTTCCGCTGGAGCTCCAACCTCTCCCGCCACCAGAGGAGCCACTCGCTGGGGAAGCGCATCGCCTACTACACCTCGATCGCGCAGGCCCAGGCCCTCGAGGCCGAGAGGAAGGCCTTCCGCTGCCAGGAGTGCGGCAAGAGCTTCACCCGGAAAAGGAGCCTCTTGGATCACGAGGGGATCCACAGCGGGGAGAGGCGCTACAAGTGCAGCCTGTGTGAGAAGTCCTTCGACCGCAAGTACCGCCTGGTGAACCACCAGAGGACCCACGCGAAGGACAAGTGCGGGAGGGACTTCCTGGCCAAGCACAGCCTCTGCGTCCGCCAGCGGAGGCAGCCCCGCGCGGCGCCGGCGGCAGGCAGCCCGGCCGGGCCGTCCCCCCCTCCGGACAGCGGGCCGTCCCCCCCTCCGGACAGCGGGCCGTCCCCCCCTCCGGACAGCGGGCCGTCCTCCCCCGGGGACAGCGGGCTGAGTCTGCAGGCGCCGGCCGGGGGCGGGGAGCGGGCCTCCGGGCCCGGCGCCCCCCAGGACCTCTCCGAGGCCAAGAAGCGCCACGAGTGCGGCACGTGCGGGAAGGCCTTCGGCAAGATCTCCCAGCTCATCAGCCACCGGCGCTTCCACACCCGCGAGCGGCCCTTCCAGTGCACCCAGTGCGGGAAGACCTTTCGCTGGGCCTCCAACCTGGCCCGGCACACGAAAGGCCACGTCGGCGATTAGCGTGGGGCCCGGCGGAGGGACCTGGGGGACCTCAGACGGAGGCGCTGCGGGAAAGCGTGCCCAGAAGGCCCGGCCCTTTTTATCCTGAAAGCTGGTCGCAGAGGATCCCGAGGATGAAAACACTCCGATGCCCCTCATTTTACCCGCCGGGAAAGGAGATGTTCTTTGGGGACCTTCCGGAGACTCAGGCCCTCAGGAGTGGCCTTTGTGCCGTGGCCTGGAGAGCCCCAGGCACGTTTTTCCCCCATAAAGTAAAGGGAGACGCAGGCCAGCGCCCTTCTGGTTTGGCGAGTGGCCTGTGGCTGCTGGGAAGGGGCCCGCCAGATCGGAGGTTTTCCTCGGAGTTTGATCTGTTCTGGTCCCTGTTCTGTTTGACCTTATAAGCAACAGCAGCTGCAGGAACTCCTCCAGTGGCCCCACATGCCTCCTGGGGAGCTCTGGCTGCGGCTTCAGCCTTCACAGCTGGCTTGGATCTCTGCTTTGGGCGCCAAGGGGAGGAGAGCAGGTGTCGGGTCCCTCCCTGGAGCGTGGCGCGCTCCCGTGCTGTCGCTGTCCCCGTCCCCAACCCCATTCCCATCCCCATCCTCATCCCCATCCCCAACTCTATCCCTATCCCCATCCCCATCCCCATCCCCATCCCCATCCCCATCCCCATCCCCAACTCTATCCCCATCCCCATCCCCATCCCCATCCCCATCCCCAGGTGTGCAGCTCCATCTGTTAAGCAGAAATGTGCTGAGCTCCTCCCACGTTCCAGACATCGTTGGGTATCTCAGATACACACAGTGACCAGGACAGTGCCGTCCTGGATCTTTACAGATAAACATCTGGGTTGGAGTGTGTGTGGGCAACATGCACCGGAGAAGAGTCAGAGGGTGTGCTGGATTGGGAGGTGGGTTGTGGTTTTAAACAGGCTGGTCATGAAAGGCTCAACTGGGAAGGTGAAATTTGAGCAAAGACCTGAAGGAGTCAGGGAGAGGGCCCTCTCGGTCTCTAGAGCCACACACGGGAGGTGGGCTCTCGTCTGGGTGTCAGGGCGGCCCCTGGGCTAGAGTGGAGTGAGCCAGAGGAAGAGGGGGGGCAGAGAGGTGATGGGCAAGCCACGGGGTCTCACTGGGCCTGGACGATTAAAAAAAATAATTAAAAAAAATACACACACACACACACACACACACACACAAGAGAGAGAGAAAGGGAGAGGGAGAGGGAGGAGATAGAAACATTGATGAGAGAAAAGCGTCATCAGTCGGCTGCCTCCTGCAAGCCCCCCATCAGGGATCAAGCCACAACCCAGACGTGTGTCCCGACAGGGAATCTGACCTCTTGGTGCGTGGGACAACGCTCAACCTCCGAGCCACACCTGTCGAATGCTTTTGGGTGATTTGGGTTTAGAAGTGAAGTGGTCTGAACGTGAATTACATTTGACAAGAGTTAACCACAGACCCAAGGACTCGGTAAAATGTGGGAGCTGAAGATTTTTTACGCCGTTATCCCTGCTGCCTGTTTCTCTGAGTGCCCCCCCACCCCCTCCCCATCCGCCCCATCAACTATCAATATTCTGTGCGACCGGCAGCTCGCAGCCCGTGAAAGCCATTGCGATTGCAGCTCGGACCTCTGTACGCCGCCATATGCCGTCTCCCTTCCCCTGCAGTGCCACACCCATCCATGCTGGCTCTGGACCGCGCCCTTCCAGCTTCCCCTGACCCTTGTCCCTCGAAGCCCTCTCCCTGCCCCCCCTCTCCCGGGCTCTGTATCGTGCTACGTTAGGTGTTGTCTGGATTTGCAGAAGTTACGCCCACCACCACAGTCAGTCTGAGGCCAGGCTGAGTGCTTGCTTATCTGTTTGCCGCACACGGATTTTGCACAAAGCTGCCTCTGTTGAGGAGGACAGAGCTGAATTTAGTTTAGCTGAGTCATGATTGAGTCCTTTGAAAGGGTCCGTGAGTGAAATGTTGACTGGAGGCCTCCCACAAGGCCACTCCTGTAATTGGGAGCCCGGCCCCGCCTGCTTCCGAGCACCGGTGAGCAGTACTGCGCCAGCCACAGTACTCCGCTCGCACCCCACTCTGGCCTGGAGGACACCCCTTTTCCCACCCCGCCGCCTTCTCTCACTCCTCAAGACCTGATGTTGGGGCTGAAGAGGGCCAGGTGGGCACCAGAAGGTCTGCCAGTCAGCTGTCCGGGGTCAGCCCCCAGAGACACGTACAGAGAAGAAAGCAAGGAAATGTGAATGACTACGGACCATCCCACACTTACCAAGGTGGCAAATTCTTAATGTGGGCGTGTGGACCCCGGGCACTCACTGTTGTGGCAGCAAAAACTGTGATGACTGTTGTGCAAAAGCTTGTAAAGTTGTGTGTACTCGGTCACCTAGTAAATCTGCTCCTGGATCAACCACAGAGCAACTCCTTGTGACAAGGAGATGCGTGCAAGACTGCACTGCAATAGTGTTCATTGCAGTATTGGTGAGATAGCAGGATTGGGAAAAGCCTACGTTCCCGTCAGCAGCAGGACAGAGAAATCAGTGGGTGGCTTTGGCATTGTGGGAAGTGAATATGAAAGAGCTGGAGTTGCCTCTTTCACAGATAAATGAAACATGGCGCTGAGAAACTGGTGAAGGTACCAAGTACCGTTTCTGTAAAATTCAACACTGTCTGTGGGTCCGTTACTTCAATGTCTTTGTGTTTCACCTTTTCTGTAAAATGAAATATTTGTGCCAGCCTCACAGGGTTGGGGGTGGCTAATGAAATGACGTAAGTAAAGTGATTAGAACAGCGGCTGGCACGTGACCATTGCTGGCATATAGTAAACCGTGTTGTCACTGTTTTGCACAATGTGTTTCCTGTGGGTGCAAATTATATGAACGCAGAGTGTAAAGTCACGGATTGGAAGGATGTGGAAAGTCCTGCGCTGCCCGCCCCGGGCAGGAGTTGCTGATGTAGTTGGTACCTGGAGGCTTCCCTTGTGTTTTCTTCCTTTTTAAAATCGATGTACCCGTGGTCAGCATGTGGATTAAATACCATAGTGCAGTGGGTTCTCTCTGAACTGTCTGCTTAAAACCCTTAAAAATAAAAAGTTTTTAAGCACGGGCTCTGACGTTTTCTGACGTCGGGGAAGCCCGGCTCTGCCCTTTCTGGGGTCGTACTCAGGATGCATCCCTTAATCGCTCCAGGCCTCAGGTTCCTCGCCTGCAAAACCGGGAGCAACACAGACGGCCCCTGGGGAAGGAGCGGCGAACGGCGCTGCTCCTGGGGGTGGAATGCCCGCAGCAGCTACCCGTGAGGGTGTTCTCCACGTGTTGATACGGGACCTCCAAGACGGGCGGTTTGCAGGAAATCACGGCTGGGGTTCTTTCTTGCCTGGGAAGGCCAGTCTTTTTGTTTTGTTCGAGCCTTTAGCTAATTGGCTGAGGCCCACCCACCTTACGGAGAATGATCCCCTCTACTCATCGCCCATCAATTTTAATGTGAACCTCATCCAAAAACACCCTCCCAGAAAACCCCAGAGTAACAGATCACATAGCCGGCTGCTCCGTGCGTCAGGACAGGCAGAGCCGGGGAAAGGCCCCGAGCCTGAAATCTCTCCTGTGGGTAGAGGGCAGGGAGAGACCAAATCAAGAGGCAAGGCCCTCCAGGGTAACGGCTGGCAAAGGGTTATCATGAAGGTTATCAAAGCATTTCTCAGGCAGTTGCAAGATGGAATGAGTCCCCACACTGCTTAGTTGGCGCCAGAGCAAAGATAAGGCGGGGGGGGGGGGGGGGGGGGGAGGTGTAGAGGGGGGGAGGAGGGAGGAGGGAGAGGAGAAGCGGGGAGGGGAGGAGCAGGGAAGAGTCACATAAACGGGTAAGTGACTGTTTCCAGGAGTGGGACATGGCCTTACATGATTGACCAGGTCAGGACAACCGGAATGTTTTCTCTAGGCAGCACATTCCAGGAGGCAGGCGAGGGGTGCTGGTTAGTGTCAGGCAGACAGCAGGCAGCCTCTGGGCGGGGAGGGGGCTGGGATGCACACAAACCCCATTTTTTTAAATTTTTATTTTATTTTTTTTTATAGAGAGAAAGGGAGAGAGTTAGAAACATCGATGAGAGAGAAACATTGATCAGCTGCCTCCTGCACCCCCCCACCAGGGATGTGCCCACAACCAAGGTACATGCCCCTGACAGGAATCGAACCTGGGTTCCCTCAGTCTGCAGGCCAATGCTCTATCCACTGAGCCAAACCGGTTTCAGCACAAACCTCTTGATGGCCCAGGGCCACCAGCTCAGTCTCTCCTCCACACCCTGGCCAGGGGGGTGGACACACAAAACTGACCATTCCACTCCTCCGGCACTGCCGCCGCCTCCTTAAGCTCCCCGGTGGCCAGAGAGCCAGCCGGCAAAGCAGAGGGGTGGATCGGAGAGTTCCCACCCCTACGCATCCGTAGAAGGGTGGATGTGAAACCGATCAGTTAATAAACCTGGCACCACTTTTCTGAATCATTTTATTAAAAAAAATTCCTAGGGTGTTTGACTTTTGAGACCAATAATATATGTTCAGGGAATTGCCAAAACCAGTTTGGCTCAGTGGATAGAGTGTCAGCCTGTGGACTGAAGGGTTCCGGGTTCAATTCCGGTCAAGGGCATATACCTTGGTTGCGGGCACATCCCCAGTAGGGGGTGTGCAAGAGGCAGCTGATTGATGGTTCTCTCTCATCGATGTTTCTAATTCTCTATCCCTCTCTCTTCCTCTCTGTAAAAAATCAATAAAACATTTATTAAAAAAAAATAGAAAAAATAAACCTGGCACCACTTTCCTGAATCATTTTATTTAAAAAATTCCTAGGATGTTTGACTTTTAAGACCAATAATATATGGTCAGGGAATTATGTGTGTTAAATTCTGGACAACGTAAAGGTGTAAGGTCTGTCAGAAGCCGTTGGTTTTACCCACTGACCTGGTAATGAATAGCTGTTGAATGCGAAATTATTTTGCTGCAGTGAACTCAGACTTAAAAGCCCCAAGAAGAGTCTGAGAATTATCTGAGACTCCAAGTAGCCACTTGGGAAAAAATTCTGGCAGTCCTCCAAATGTTAAACAGAGTTACCATGTAAGCCAACAAATCCCCACGAGAATGTCTCGTGGCCCTTTAAAACTTACAGAACGTAAATATGGGAAACAACACAGAGAATGGAATTTTGGAAAACCCAGTTCGCCCTGGCCTCACTGAGCCGAGGGCATTTCCCACACTCTGGCTTGTTCCGTGGCTAACCGCCATGCTCAGAGCCCGCGCTGCTTCCACAGCGGGCAGAATCCAGGCTGGGATAGGCTGGGGTGTGCCTGACACAATAATGGTCAGGTTGCTAGGAGCCCCCAGGCTTCTAAGGCTCCCCCTCCTCTCTGAAGCCCCCACCAATGAATCCTCCACTCCAGACCTTTCAGACGGGTGAGCTTCAAACGTCTCATGCCTTTCCGGGCCCCCAAGGCCAGGCCGTCGGCTGAGCCCACTCTGCCCTTGCTTTTAGCCACCCGATTCTGGGCATCCCGGAAGGATATGCTGACTTGCCCATGGCCTTGGGGACCGTCAGGGGAGAGTGGGCAGACCCTCTCTGCCTGGGGCAAATCGGAGCTTCTCATGGGTGTCAGGACCTTGAAGATGGTTGACCTTGTCCAGGGGTCAGCAAACTCATTAGTCCACAGGGCCAAATATCAACAGGACAACGACTGACCTTTCTTTGGAGAGCCAAAATTTTAAAACTAAAACTTCTTCTAATGCCACTTCTTCAACATAGACTCGCCCAGGCCATGGTACTTTGTGGAAGAGCCACACTCAGGGGCCAAAGAGCCGCACGTGGCTCGCGAGCCGCAGTTTGCCGACCACGGACCTAGTCTATTGTCTTGGTAGTGTGCCTTGACATTTCTCAGGGGGGCCAGTCACTGTCCGTTGTAAAGAAGGGGAAGTACCAAGCATGACAGGAAGTAGGACGAGTCCCCCAGACCTGCCATTTGGCCCACACCGAGGTGGGCTTCCCCTGAGCTCAGGAAGCTGCAGCTTCGCAGCCCTGTCTGGGCCTGGGCCTGGGAAGGTGTTCATGTGCTGGGGGAGTTTCCTGGCGCTGCTGTGACTCAGGGCCACAAATGTAGCTGCTTGGAACAAGAGTCACGCATCTCCCAGAGTGTTAGGTCCTGAGTCTCTCACGCGAGGCGTGGGACTCTGCTTAGGGTCTCACACGTCAAGCTAGCATTTTGTCCGCCCTGAGCTCTCATCCGGGGACTCTGGGGGGAAACCCAGTCCCAGCCAGGCTCCTTGGTTTTGCTGACAGAATTTTCCTTCTCGTGGCTTGCACTTGGCCTCTGCCATCACAGAACCAGCAATGGCAGGCGAGGCCTCCTCTCGCTCAGAATCCCTCTCACCTTGGGCTGTGTCTCTCGGACCCCAGCCAGAGAAAGCTCTTGTTTCCCAGGGCTCAAATGGTCAGATGGGGCACCCGGATAACACAGAGTAATGTCCCTCGTGTAAGACCTGTGCTTTTAATTATATCTGCAAAGTCCCTTTGTCATGTAATGAAACGCATTTACAGGTTCCCAGGATTAGGGCAACGCCACTTTTGGGGAACCATTCTGCAGACCACACAGGATAATGTTTTTGTAAAATTTACGAGTGATTTTTCTTTCTTTTTTTTGTAAGATGATCCAGCATTCTCCATTCTCCTCTTAATCTAAGAAAGGTTATTCTGTTTTGTTTTTTCCCCTCCCAGCTGTAGTTCATTCATCATCGTCGCTTCTTAAGGAGTGGCGACCAGCTTTATCTTAAGGGATATAGCCGAATTGCATTGCCTGGAAAATCGCATAGAGAATATTGCACATAATCATTTATGTTCCATGAAATTGCTAGTGCACACACACACACACACACACACGCACGCACATACACATCTGAACTAGGTCCAGATGTACAGTGTACATCCTAAGTGTACCTGGTTAAGATTTAAAAAGAATCCACCTGGAGCCTCCAGTTAGGGGTGCACCTGCTTGGTCCTGGGAAACTTCTGGAGCCCCTGGGAGGCTGTCCCTGCCAGGCCGAGCACAGGGGGTTCCCAGGCTCCCTGCCCTGGGCTGTGGGGGGAGCCCGCCCCGCAGGCGGACCACTGACGACGCACCTGTGCGGTCCTGCTCTCCCCTGCAGCTATGTCTACGAGTCACTTGGAACCGAGGAAGAAACCTCTCGACACGTTTTTCTGGGTAAACGAGGTCACCGGAGAAGTCACCTACCCGCCCCTGGAGGCGGATGTGCCCGCAGCTCCGCCGGAGGAGCCCCAGGAGCTCCCCGAGTGCCAGCGCGGGAGCGCGCAGGGGGCTCCCCCCGGGGCCCGGGGCCGGGCCAGCCCGCCCGCGTGGAAGGCGGACTCCCCGTCCCCTCCCATGGCTCCGCTCAGACACAGGGGCGCCAGCTACACCCCGCCATCGACCCCGCCGCACCCGCTGGTGAAAGCTGCAGCCAGGAGCCCCTCGCGGCTCCCGGCGGCTCCGCTCTTACCACCAGGGGGCGCTCCGCCCCTATTCCAGCCCCTCGGGCCCGCGCCGCCTCCGCCAGCCTCGGCCTTTCCTTCCTGCCCCTCTGTCCTCTGGGCCTACACCTGCAAGCTGAAAAACGTCCTCACTGGGAATAACCGGTTTTCCTTTTGAACTCGAGGGTGTGTGCCTGGCCGCGCCCCCGAAGCGCCTTCCGGAGCCATCGGTGGCCAGAGCGGCCTGCCACCCGCCTCCCCGCACACCTGCCTGCCCTGGCGGGACCCCTGGCCTACCCGGAGGCAGGCAACGCAGGACTCGGCCAGGTTCTTGTGCGAATGTGCCAAGTGCTTTCAAACTCCGTATAAATTGAGCTGCGATTTTGACACACAACGTTTTCTAGAATTCCTTTACCTCCCAAGCCAAGGTGGTCTTCTACTCTGAACTCTTTGGGGCTCGACAATTCGGTTCTGATGTTGGCGTCACAGCAGTGTGTTTGGTTCCCAAGTTCCCAGCTGGGGCCAGAAGGAGGCCTCCCTGGCTTGAGACTGGAACAGGCCCGAGCCAGGCTGTTCCCTGAGCTTCTGGCTGCTCCCCTCCCCCCAAAAC